CGGGCCCGTCCCCGCCAGGGAAAGGCCCACCGGGAAGCCTCCCCGGCATGGAGCCCAGCACTCGGGCTCCCCGCCAGCCGCTGCCCTGCAAAGCCAGCCCCCCTCCCTGTGTCAGCCTGCCTTAGCCGGCCTCCCTCCTTGGGCTCTCGGTGAAGCGAGAGCGATCTGGCAGCAGGCGAGGACCTGCAAAACATTCTTCCCCTCCTCCTCTCACAGAGCCCTCTGGAAATTTCTTTTCCTTAGTCATCTCCCATCCTCGCCTTCACTCATGCTGAACCCGCCTGCTTCCCTGCTGATGCACCGTCACCGGGGTGGGCGCAGGACCCCTCTGCAGCGCGAGGGCTGTAAGGGACATGGCACACCGGCACTCCTGCCTTCCACCCGCACTCACTTTCAGAAAAGTGCTGTCGATGCACCCACCGGCTCTCAGAAACCGTGTGTGGCCCAAAGCTTGCGTCCGGGAGCCCAAGGAACGCAAGAGCCGCTGCAGATACCTCCGTCTGTCAGGTTGTACAGAGCCCTGGAAACCCACAGTCACTAAGCTCAAAGATTAATCCCTCCACAGAGTCCCTCTGAAGTATTCCCAAACCCACCCAGTTACAGCTGGGCCAGGAGAGCTGGCATCTAACCCCGCCTCTGCCACCACCTCCCGGGACAGTCCAGGGCTGCCCGCTCCCTCTCCCCATACGGAGAAGGAGAACACCACTTACCTGCTCCAACAGCTTTGGGAGATCTAGTTACTGCTTTGCAGAGCTCAGATCAACATGAACAGCCTCACGCAGGCTGCAAGCCTTTATTTGCAGAGGAATATTATACAGATCTTAAGGGTAACATTAATTAGTTACTCATCTTGAGCGGGTGCAACTGGTAACCAGCGATGCCCTCACACATGGAGGGGGACAGAACTACCCTTTGCCTGAACTCCATTTTCCAGCAGTGAGGTTTTCTGCCTGGCAGAGTGTGTTTCATTTCAAGTCGCTGACTGCATATGCCAGGAGCAAGGAAAAGCAATGGCATTTGTCAGGCTATCAGGCACCCTTTGCGCCCCACCATCAAATGAGAGGATGATTCCAGCAGGTGCAGAGGATTTTTTGTGTCCCCATCCTGGCTCCAGGTCTCAGATATCCTCCTCCTCCCCCCTAAAAAGCTCTGTGAAATTCTTGTGTGGCTCTTGTACCCAGGAGAGGATTTAAACCCTATTTTTAAGCATGCAGAGCTGGCAGCCCGGGGCACAGGAACAAGCTTCCCAAGCAAGCGCTTGTGCCTCCTGCTGCTTTCCAGCACAAGACCAAAGAGCAGGACAAAATGGCAGGAACCTTACAGAGATGGCATTGCCTGGGCCATCATTTGAAAAGCCTCTGTTCAAGACTTCGTGGCGGGGGGAAACGAGGACAACCTCTTTGTGAGAAAGAAAGAGGTTATGAAGTATGTCGTAGGAGACAGAGCCAGCCGACACGGGCTGCAGAGGGACAGGAGTCTGTTCCACTAAAAGATGTATCCTGACACAGAAAAGGTTAACCCTAGATAAGCAGGACACGGGGAGAGAGAAATCTGTCCTGACAGAGCAGCCAAGGGGAGCCCATGAGTTAGCAGCAGCTACCTGAAACCTTGCACTGTTCTCAGTTATCTCAGACTCTTACCTGAAGCATCGCTCAGCTGCTGGGGCAGAGGTAAGCACTGTCATCCCCTCCCATCAAAGCAACAATTTACTTCACTACTGAGCACTAGCTGCAGATGTGCTAAAAGCTCAACCACTCCTGGGGGTAGGAACCTGGCTCCTACCCCTGCTCTTCCGCTGAAGACTGAGTCATCCTGCAGCAGGGCTGGAGCTGGAGATCCCAACGATCTCCTCCAGTACCGGCTCAGTCTTTTATTTGCCCTCATCAGAGCTTGCTGCTTCTTTCCAAAAGAAATTTCACTTGAGATTCCCAGAGTCGGTGTCAGCCCACTTGTCTCCTTCCCCGCTCGCTGGGCACCCCGACAAGGTGTAAAGGCCAGCCCCCTCCACCTGCTCCCTAGCCTGGGACTCCTCCCCACCACCTCCCAGACCTTCCATTTACACTCCCACGCATTCCCTAATTAATTGATTTTTTCTGTTTTGAATAGTCTTCCTGCTAACACTTAGAAAATTGTGGCGGGAAACAAAATCCCTATGCATCATATATTATGAGGCACAAGCTGTATACGTGCCCCAGGAGCCCTAACCTCTAATCCAGTACGAGGTTTGTAAAGTGCGGACCACGCCACGTGTGGACGACAGACCTGGCCTCCAGCGCTGGGTTTCCAACCCATGAGCTTCCCAGATGCCCACCTCCGCTGGCTTCAGGGCTGCTGCTTCATGCTCTCACGGTGGGGAGCTGTGCAAGGAAAGCGCGGCACTGCGCACACTCCAGGCACGCGGAAGCGAGCCCCCGGAGTGATGTGCGTGCGGGGTGAGCCTTACGCAGTGCTGCGGGTGATGGGGAACGTCGCAGGGCAGCAGAGTGGGGGCTGGCGCACGCAGCCTGCCCACTGGGAAGCAGCTGCGGGCTCATCCTCCTGCCTGGCTGAGGTTGCCGGTGCTGCTGGCTAAGCCCTGATCCTGCCACCGCTTCCAGGCAAGCAGACCCCGGTGCTTTCATGGGATCACCTGACTGAAGGGAGAGGAGCAAGCAACTAGGCAGAGCCCAGCACGAGGCTGAGGCATGAGCATCCTGCACGCAGCCCCTGCGCGAGCACCCTGCATGCAGCCCTGGCAGCAGAGACTCCGGTGCTGTCTAAGCCAAAAAAAAGGCTGCTGCATCGTAACGATGGCAAAGAGGGAGCATTATCGTAGATGCTCCCCTCGACGCTCATGCTGGGGGGATATCACTACCACCGCATTAGAGGAATGGTGAGCAATCAGGTTGTGGGAGCCCTCCCCAGGCAGGGTCAGCTTTCCAGCCACGCAGATGGCTTTCCCACCACCACTACCCCAGCACCTCGCCTGCACCCCTCATGCTCCGTCCGCCCTGCAGTGGTGCCCGCTGTCACCAGTGAGCCCTCTGGAGAGGCATCCATCGCCCAGCAACACCACCCCAGAGCCCCGCTCCTCCTGCTGGGAGCCTCTGGGGAGGTTTCCAGCGGAGGCCCCTGGCGACGCATGCTGGAGCCTCTGCTGCTCAGCACCTCAGGGAGACAGGGTGAGTGGTGAGATGACAAAGTCTACCAACTACACTAAGTTATTCAGAGGATGGAAACAAAGCCGACGCTGAAGTCACGCTGCAAGCTGTTGGAAATCAGAAGAATACTCTGGAAAAACGTGTCTGCTGGCTTTCTCACCCCCATTCCCTGAGCACCCTGAGCTGGGATGGGACCAGCCATGGCAGCTCCTGGCCGGAGCATGGCTGTTCCTGCCTGCGTGCAGAATGCCAGGTAGAGAGGCAAGGCAGCACGTGCCCCGGGGCTGCTGACAGTGCACCCCATCTGGTGCTCTATACGACACGGGAGAGCTTTCCAGAGGACCTCCAAGGATGGGCATCAATATTGGAACCATCCTAGCCCAGCTCAAAGCAGCAGATCATGGCAGCTCCTGGCCGGAGCATGGCTGTTCCTGCCTGCGTGCAGAATGCCAGGTAGAGAGGCAAGGCAGCACGTGCCCCGGGGCTGCTGACAGTGCACCCCATCTGGTGCTCTATACGACACGGGAGAGCTTTCCAGAGGACCTCCAAGGATGGGCATCAATATTGGAACCATCCTAGCCCAGCTCAAAGCAGCAGATTAA